CCCCAAAACCCCAAAACCCCAAAACCCCATAATTTATGTAAATAATTGAATTTCATTGTACCAATCTTAGTAAAATGTCAATTTGGAAGGATCCTAAGTTATACAGAAAGAAGCATCATGCTCCGAGAAAGCCAAAGGTTATACTTTCTGTTACAAGTCTGAAGAATTACATACCTTCAGTGATTGATCTTCTTGATTTTCCTGAAGAAATAGAGAATCTGTAAGATTTCTCTTAATTTTTAGTTTGGCTCAACACAAGCAAATTTTGGTAGAGAATAGTATAAGAAAATAAAGTCCAGATTCTCAGTAAAATTGATTATCATCCAAGAAGAAATAATGAATGGTCTAAGACATATTTGAATAATGTTAATAAAAAGGTGGAGAGATTAAGAAGCGAGCCAATGTTATGAGAGTTCTCAGCTCCAAGTTATAAAGGATTTAAGAAAGATCTCGACTATCTCGTACTTGGGTATTCCGAACTTGACCAAGAATTATCAAAAATCACTTTAAACATGTATTTTATCTTCTAACCCCTTATCTATAGTAATTGTTCCTCTCTAAACGCTCAGAAACCGTCCAAAAGCATCTCAGAAGCTCCCTTACCTCCAAACCACCCTCCATTAACCCCTCTCCCCAAAATTTTCACTCTCATAACTCTTCCCAAAATCCCCAAAACCGCCTTAATCACCCTCTCCAAATCCCTCTTACCCTCCTTCGCTACTCTCAACACCCACCCTGCCTTCACTTCCTTCAACCCGACCAATCCAGATGCTACCTTCCCCACAAAGTACAAATAACATGAAGATCTGAGCCCACAGTTATTTCTGAGATTACACTGAGATTTATCCATCTCTTCCTCCTCCTAATAGTCATGCGCTTGATGTATCCGACTGAAGAGGGGTTGGGGCTCATGCCCTCTGCAGGTAAATTTTGGTGAGATTAGGAGGGAGAAGTTGATTATGTATAGGCAACTTGATGAAGAAGATGTGAGAAAATAGGTTCAAGAGAGTTTATGCGGCAGATAGTTGCGGTGCTGAATTTGGAATGAGGTAATGATTTAGTCTTAATGAGGTGAAGAATTTAGTGTATTGGGTTAGATTGTGTAGAGATAAAGTGAGTAAAGTATTTTAATCATGGCAATTAAGCTCCCTATATCTTTGAATTAGAGTTAGATGAGATAAGCCAGCCATAAAGCAGAGAAGAATCTGAATTGGATCGATTTAGCCCATTTTTAATTTCTTTAAGCCAAAAAAATTGTTTTTAGGCTCTAAAATATTATTAGAATAACTAACTTAGCCTAAAACCAAATACTGTCAAATTCAACCCAATTTATAAACGATCTGAACTAACGTTTTGTGGACACTTCATTTCTTTATGATTTATCGCTCCAACTTCCTTGTCAGAGTCATAATGGGTTCGCCATCAATTAACTCCACAGAGGCCAGATCAAGACATTATCTTTATTCCGCTATGATGGCATAATGATTATTAAGTGGCCTGAATTTAATGCTTCAACTATTTCTCCTTTATAGAAGAACTCCTAGGAAAAAGAATATTTTCAGTAAATAAAGTCTATGATTGTAAGAAGGAGGCTAAGAAAATCCCTGTTTTTATGCTGAAAAACGAGATTGATAAGATCAAATTTAAGAAAACCTGGCAAGATGTCAATAATAAATCGTAAGGATCAATATTGATGTATAGGATCAATACAATCACTACTAGATCTTTGTTTAAAGAAGCCGCTATTAATTTAGAGCAGGAGAGAATTAATTCATCACTATTGAAAAGGAAATCAATATTTGATCCAAATTCTTTCTTAGCACCAGTTTCATATAAACCCCAGCCTTTTCCAAAGATCTTTCCTAAAATGCATATTCCAAAACAAATCATTGAGAAGATTTGAACTCCTAAAAGACTAGATTTTCTCTCAAAAGATGTAGTTGAGCCACTCACCAACTATCTTGAGTCACAAATATTATGAAATACTTACAAGAAGAAGAATATTGACTGAAAAACAGTCTTAGCCCAAAAACCATCACCAGCTTTAAGTTCTGCTAAGATTGAAACTCCAGTTAATCGGATGGACTCTATTGAGAAACCTCTGATGGTGAGCACCAAGAGCAAGATCAGGACTATCGAGGAGCCTACTAGTGATGTAGAGTTCTCCATCTCTGACTTAGACTTCAGTGAAATTGAAGAAGTTCTTGAAGATAGTCAAACTCATACTCAAAAAGAAAGCAAGAGTGAATCACAAAGCTGCTCAGAAAGCAGTAGTAGTGAACATAATATTTTGGAAGATCTAGAACTAGTCTTTGTATCCGCACAAAACATGAAACAGTCTGTATCTCAAGGAGGCGCTTTCTTGATTGAGTGACTGAAACCTGCAAAGGTTCATTGGATCAATTATAATTTTCTTCAAAAGTAATTTCCCGATTTTAACATTAAATAGATTTGAGGATAACTTCAAGTTCTGGCAAATAGTAAGTTTGACTCATTAATAGTAGGTAATTGATGGAGATACAATTGTTTTCATCAACAATCCAGCCATCTTCAATGCAGACAACCCAAACTTTGAAGATGAATATTGAGAGTCTGCTAAAGTATCTCCCTCGTTATAACCTTTAGCAAATCTTCAAAATATATTGTCAGTTTACTAAGAATTTACTCTTTATCATGATTGCATTACATGAGACAGCCCCGACAAAAATCTCCAAAAATATGTAAAATTGAACTAATTCTTAGTGAAATTGTGACAATGAACCAAGACCCTCTAATCCAACAGTCAACTGTCTATTCTTACCAAGAGTGTGCTTACTTGGTGAATAATTTGTATATCCCAGAGACATTTGAAAAGAAAAGTCTTAAGGCTCCGAATAATATCTGGAAGGATCGTCAAAATCTTGAGAAGTTTCTTAGTCCAGATTATGAAATCAGTAAGACTAGCCAAGTAATAAGCATAGGTATCAGATGCAAAACCATCATTCCTCTGAATGCTATTGGGAAATACTACTTCCTTGAGAAGTTGAACTCGATCAACATCGATCACCACGATGAACTAAGCCTTGATCTGTTTTCGAGCCTCATTGATGTGATAGATAAACCAATTTTAGAAAAGGCTATAGAGACGGCCAATAGAATCTTGTTCGGATCCAGAATCAGCTCTGAGACCTCACAACACATGCCAAGGGTAAGCTCAGAGTATTTATTCATAGATTTCTGCCCAGAAGTCTATTCCTTTGAGAAGGATAGTAAAAAGTGATTTTGGTGCTTCCACCATCTCTGAAGAGGAAAGCAGTTCAGAAAGTGATAGAATAGAGGAAAATATCCAAAAGAAGATCAACAAGTCTCGAAAACTGAAAGATATACGCCGTAATCTAATATCAAGGCAGGTTATCAAGAGAAGTCCCACTTTTGGAACAAGTTCTAAAGAAGAAAGTGTAAATCTTTTGTTTTTATCATAGACTGACTTAACTCCTGAAAGTGGAGACATCAGCCAGAGATATTCATTTGAAGCTTTAGAGAATAAGTTTAAGGCAAAACAAAATAAGAAACCTGTAGTTTTTCCTACTCAGCCTTCTTATGAGACTCCAATACAGGTATCTTCAACTCTCAGAACTAGGCTTCGAATACAACAACTTCCGAAGAGTCTAATATCATATTAAACTCAGTTCGCAAAGAAGACAAGAGATTCGGGAAGCAAAGACAGAATCAAAAGACCCAGAGAGATGAGCTAATGAGAAAGATTAATGCTCAGAAGTACAGAATCAGACAGTCCCAGAAACCATAATTGGCATCATCAATCATAAATCTCTTACTAGGGGTTTTGGGGTTTTGGGGTTTTGGGGTTTTGGGG